AAGAGGCAAGAGCGGTCGTCCAAGCGTCTACGTCTACGCAGGCTTAACGTCTGAAGGTCGGCCAGTCGTTCCTCCATTCCTGCCTCCCTTCCTTTCCGCTCCCCTCTCCTCTCTTCTCTCCTTCCTCCGCTTCCGTCGCCTCCTCCCTCTCCTTCCTCTGTCTCATCCTGCCTCCCCCTTGGCCCCCTCTCCTCCTCCGACTGGGCCGAATCGACCTATGAGCCGCCCGTCCTTCCTTCTGCCGCAGCGCGCTGGCGGATCATCGAATGTCCAGGCGCACCTCAGGTCACAGAGGTCACTTAGGAGGAGGATGAGGAGGAGGAGGAAGAGGAGGAGGAGGAGGAGAAGGAGGAGGAGGAGGGAGAGAGGAGGGAGAGAGGAGGGAAAGAGAAGGAGGGACAGGGGAGGATCAACGATGCTAAATTACACCCTTCATGTCCAAAGCCCCCTCCTCGTAAGCCAATGTGCTTCACTGCGCGAAGCGCCCCCCTTGAAATCCGAGCGCCTCATGGGCCCACAGTTCTGTCGGGGTCTTCGCGTTGAAGGAAGCCGCCCCTCGTCCTTCGAGCGACAAGGGTGTCTGTAAAGCTGAAGCGGGTGTGAAGTCGGGCGTGGCCCTCCACGGGGGGAATCTTCAAAAATGGTCAGACAAATAGGTTGGTGACGATGTGTTGACTATGTGTGGTGGGTATTTGTGGAACAACATCAGGGTTGTTGATTTTGTGTTATCTATACATATACATATAACATGTATTTATATAGATATTGACATATATATATACATATAACGCAAACTAATAATAATAATAATAAAAAAAAAAACGCCCCAAATGCGCCTGTAGGAGGACCTGCCTGGCTTGAAGCGCGTGCCGAACGACAACCCCACCTTGAGCAGACGCTGGTTTGCGCCCGTGCGGCCGTTGCACGCTCCTGGAGCTTCTGGCCGTGCATCACGCACGTCTCGGGCGAGAACAAAGCCACCCTCCGTCCGCGCAGCTGTCGCACAGTGCAGCGCATAGAGGACCGTTTCCCGCAGGAAGCGGTTCAGTACGCCGTGGTCTGTTCCGATGACGACAATGACCCGCTCGACAGTTTCGACTTTGACGGCTTTGAACTCTAGCCGATGACTTGCAGATCGTGCGCTCTGCCAGGCCCCACATTGTCAGAGCAGTGCTCATTAGTAATGTTGCCGGTAGTTCCCGTTGGTCAGCTTGTGAGTCAACGGTGATTTCGTATAGGTTTTTAAAACATTAGGTGGCAGGCCCGATCCAAGGGGGGCCCACGAGGAACAGGTTTCGGCCTCGAGCCCTGTCGTTTCCAGGGCCCGCTGAGCCTCGGGGTCGCGCGGCGGTGCTCGGGGAGGTCAGCCTGGGCAGCGCAGAGCCGCCCTCCTCGGCGGCTCTACCCGCCAAAACCGTGGGCGCGCGGTCGAGACTCTCGTCGACGTCCTTCTGAGCGTGGGCGATGCAGGAGCCAGCCTAGCGTTAAGTCGGGCATGTGCCCCTCTACGCGAGGAATGTTCAAAGATTTTCAGAAAGTAGTCCGTGGACGATTTGTTGTTTCAGTATTTTTGCATATATTCGAATATTCGTAATTATATTTATAAGGGGAGACACGCCCGACCTAAACCTAGCGCATCGCGTCGAGGAGGCGTTCGTGCTCCTCGTGGGCCTCCATGGGGAAGGGGTGGAACGCGGCGCCCTTTTTCGCGGCCGCATCCGCGATGTCGTAGCCGACCTTGTCGACGCTGCAGCGCGCTTCCAGGTGCGTCCTGTGGCCCTCGACCCGCGCGACCTTCGGGCTCTCCGAGTGGCCGCCCAAGTCTTCGACGGCGTGCCAGAGCTGTCGCCGCAGGCCCGCGTTTTCGCATCTGACGTGGGTGCCGCGCTCCTCGCCGTGCGCCGGCGCCTCGACAAGGCCGAGACAACCCGTCCTGATGTGTATCTTTAAGCGCCCGTGCTTCATCGCGTGGAGCACCGCGTAGAGTTCGCCTCGATGGGCTGTCTGCTAGGGGCCAGGCAAGGGGCCGAAGGCCATCCCCTTGAGACGACTGCTGTCCAGGATGGCCATCGCCCAGCGTGCCCTGCTGTCGCCGGGCCAGTCCAGCGGGCTCCTGGCGGAGCCGCCAGCGTAGATCACGCCCGTGATGCCCATCGTCTGGCCGCTCTTGCAGCACCGCCACTGCTGCGCATGCATCGGCGGCGGCGCGTTTGGTAGCACGGTCCTGGGGAGCAGCGCGCTCGAAGAAGAGGTCACCCAGTGCGGCGCGCCAGGTGCAGCACGGCGCCGCCCAGCGCCTCCCTTCGCAGGCCGCCCGCGACGAGGCATATCCAGAATCTACGATTCAGCCCGGCGTGTCCCTCTACAGGAGGAATATTCCCAAATGGGAAAATAGAATGGGGGCGTTTTTTCTATTTCTCCTATGTGTGATTTATGTTTGAGCATTGTTTGGGGTGCGTTTGATTTTTCGTCCAAAATCCGCCTGTGGGGGGACATGCCC